AGTCATCTGGTAGCCCAAACTATATGACAAGAAATGGGTTAACAGTTTCTGGGCCAGTCCAGAAGACAGTATCTTCGGATCTGCGAGTGACATTTTGTCTTCAACGATAATGAACTTAAGGCATTCCCCAACGAAACAGAGGGATGATACCTCCCGCAATCGCATTCTCCAGATGCCCTCTCTTGTCTCAATTCGTCGATGAGATTTTGGAGTACAATTTTGTGCACCGGCGATCAAGTAGCTATAAAAGGAGTGGGGAAGCTGCATTTGTTTCTCACCCTAAACACACCATACATAAAGTAGATTATAGGGCTCATTTGGGAAGAGGAGAGTGTACATAAAGAGCTGAAACAGAGAGAAACAGAGCCAGAGAGTGAAGCAAAGAAAACATAAAGAAAAAACATGGATTCCGGATCAAAATTGATGGTTGTCGCAACTTTCCTGCTTCTAACCATTTCGAGTTTCTTTGTAGTTGACGCGAAACTTGCAGACACAAGCATTATCAGGGGACCAGATTGCGTCGGCAAGTCAGAGGATCAAGAGTACAACAACAAAGTGGCTCGTCTCATCGACATTTTCGTGGACGAGACAAAAAATGTGAAACGCGGGCACCACAACGACTACAGTTATGTTCACAGCTACCCGAATCGCGACAACGGCTCAGTTATTGGAGGTGCTACCTGTGACAGGCACCTCTGGAAACTGGATTGTTGGGCATGTTTGGTCACTGCTAAGAACAAACTTAGCACAAATTGTGAGCATACCCTCGAAGCTAGGCTCGAACTCACTGATTGTTCCATCTGGTACAAGATGATCCAATAACTTCATTCTCTGTTTCTGGATATATTTGTATAGATGTGTGCCTCTCCCTTCCCTATTTTATCGGTTGATTCTATTGTTTGTTTTCCCCCTTTTGCTGCTTTGGTTGTGTTTGAGTCTACCTTTATCTTATCTTATTTTCTGCATACAATAAGGTTCTCGAATCTCGAATATGTGGAGTCAGTTATTAGCAGAAACTATAAATACTTATTCGTATTGCTCATGTATTTTTCAAATGATTGATTAAGGAAATCTTTGGTCATTTTTAAATCATAAATGTCTATTTGGTTTTGATGCATGTGTACCATCGCTTCAAATTACGAGGATACAAAAAATAAGTGGAATGATAATAGCCCTAATTGATAAATCAACTCATATAAATTCTAACAGATGCGAATAAGCATTAGGTGGGGCCAAGATAGTCAAAATCTAACTTTTACGTTGAAATAAAATGATTGGTATAAGGTCAACTCAAGGTACAAAGTCGAGTTGGGCAGGAGTGTGGTCTTTCGGTCTTGAGATGTGTGATGTCTCAGGTTTGAGCCCCGTCAATGCAGTCAAAATCGGGATTTTAATCGTAAAATTTTACCATAAAATCAGTGGACCTTTTAAAACGTTCAAAATCTGGATTAAAATCGTTAAAATCATAAAATCGGGATTTTAATTCTAAAAAAAAAAAATCAGTGGACCTTAAAAACGTTCAAAATCTGGATTAAAAGCGTTAAAATCATAAAATCGTAAAATCGTACCAAAATCGGGATTTTGATCCTATGTAAACAAAATAGGGAGCTTGAGCCAATTCAAAAGAAGCATAACTGTTTCAGTGGAAAGGGCAATGACGGAGATCTTCTCAAACTCACCCATTTTGGTATGCGCTGGAGGTGAGTTCTCGGGATGGAATTCACAACCGTGAACAAGACGTAGCGGCCGCAAACATTGTCACAACCTCGCGAAGGACTGCGAGACGGACCACGAGACCTTTTGTGTCTTCATTGTTTGCAGCCTCCTGGAGATTGCGGCCTGGTGGCTGAATTCACGACTGCAAACTTTTGCTTTGGTCGTGATCTTTTAAAAGTCCATGGGTTCTCAGTTGTGAATTTTGCTCTGTGGTTACGAACTCTGATTTTGCCTCTTTTCATCCTCTTTTCCTACACATGATCTCGCTTTCTTTGTCATTTTCGCTTCTATCCTCAAATGCCCCCTAAAAAGACATAAATTGACGCGAGGAAGCATTCTATACTACAAATGAAATTTAATTGATCTAATCACGCTCTAAATATTATGGAAACACCCAAGAAATGAAGGTTAAATAACACCAAATTTGGTGTTATCAAATTACCCCCCCACTTAGGAGTTTTTTTGTCACCAAGCAAACACATGACTAAACTGTGCAACACAAAGTCTCTAACCTCCCCCTCGATTTGTTTCCCAAGAGATGGATCGCTAGTGACTACATATGCTTAGGTTTTCAATGCCATTGTTCGACTATGCTCGGGGACATCATCAAAGGTTCTTTAAAGTGACTGGAGACTAGTGCAAGGCATGGTATCACAACTCACAGTTGTAGGCCAGAGTGTTAGTTTCTCTAACAGTTCTATTTTCCTCTTTCTCTTCAACCTTTATTCTTTTTTTCAAGTTTTTCTTTGGGGTTGTATATGCTAACTTATCCACTTATACCATGTCATGAACGAGAAGTGGATTTGGAATTTTGGAGGCACGATGAGCTTTCCGATCGTCATTTCTGTATGGACTCCACAAGCAAATATTGAGAACGCCAGTGTGTACAACCTTAGAGTCTCACTAATGATCATGCTTATCTACCAAATGGAGAGAAAACCATGAAATTAAACAAACTCCAAATGAGCATTATTGGTAGGTTTATCTCTGCTTAAATTTGTGAAGAACTAATTGATACCAATAACTCGTGTTGTTGAAAGAGGTTTAATAATGGATCTTATACCATATACTAAGAGCCACCCTCAAACTATAGTCAACTCATATGAGCTTGTAACTTGCACATGTCTAAATACCATGTGCTTAACGGATGGGGTTCATCGGGATTCGAACACAAGAGCTCTCACTCATTGAAGGCTCTTATACCACCCCAATCTTCTCCAAATGGTGCTGCAGTGTGTAGAGACTTTCCATCGACTTGTGACTTTTGCCGAACCCCAACAGGTCAATTGCGCACAACTTGTTAGTTCGGTTCTTGGGTTCCAAGAGTTTTGGAAATATTTTTTCAGTCTAGTACGACGATGAAGCGAGGAATCCATGTAAAAATACCACATTCTCAATTTCTTTTTACATGGGCAGCAGCTGTAGAATGTCAAATTCTGACGAAAAGGAAATTAGCGAAAAAACACAAGCTTTTTACGTTAATGGAGGTGTTAAGGAATTATTTCGTTCATCGTCGAAGAAACACAAGATTGCACAGACAATCCAACCATCTTCCGACGGCGGTGCCACAGTCGTCACTAGACTCCTTGCAATCCACCAGCTGAAGTTTGAACCTTTTGGACGGAAGACGAGAACCGGTTATCCTAAACACATTTCTTCTACTCGACTTCGTCTCTGGGAGCCTAATCTCACCAAAGGTTGTGCTATTTCCGTCTCCCCTTTCATAGTAGCAAGGCTTTTTGCTTTTCCCTTCGAGTTAATCATTGATAAACCTGTCAATTAAGCAGAAAACAGAGTCTAGAAGGTCAGAAGCAGAACGACGATGGTGAGCACAGAGTGGAGAGCTCCGACAATAGTTGAAACCCATTTCCCTACAATAGTCGACACATTGCATAGTAGAGACATTGATCGAACAAAATGGTGAGTCATAGGACAATTGGACCATTGAGAGAATTTCTGGATGTCTATTAGGCCAATCATTTGTGAAATCCATGAGCTCACGCGATTGTTCAACCGCCAGGGCAATGTAGAAACTGAAAACTAACACGAAGGAATAATTTCTTTATCGTAAATGGAATCCAAGAACAATGGTACACGATAAGATAACAAATGGAAAATGATTTCTCTATAATGTTTTGTTTTTCGTGTTCCACTGAGAATCATCAGCACCCTTATTTCTCGGAGGCTGATCGGAGCTAACTATCAGAAGATTTCATATGTAATGGGTAGATGACGAACTTCTCTCCAACGGCATCTTCCTTTTGCTCACCATAAATCGGTTCACACCTTTCTGCATCGGCATTATCAATATGAAATCTTCATCTGGAATCTGGCTTACCTCCAATATGTCCTTGATTTAAGCCACCTGTTTGAAGTGTTAGTAAATGGTATATGATTCATTATTGAACATCCCCCAACAACTCGAGTTATTGGGATCAACTGGTTTTTGACATGATATCAGAGCCTTCTGTGAACAAGATGTCTTCTGTTCGAATCCTAATGACCCCATCTGTTATGTATTATTAAACGTAATATTAGCTTAGAGACAAAATAAAATACCAATACGTATTTTATATGTAACTTTCCTGTATCGTATTTTACTGACTATGCATGATTGAACCCCTTCCCAAAAACTCTAGTTATTAAGATCAAATGATTCTTGACATGAACCACCTCTCAACTTTAGCCTCCTCTAACATATCCAAAGGATCGAGATCTGCCTTCACCGCCGAACCTTCCAAGCTTTTCCCACTCCACCATGATGGTTGACTCATGATTCCAACCACATTCAAAATGGGATTTGATATAGGCCATGTGGAAGGTGGTTGTGACCCCATCAAAGTCAGTCTATTCTCCAAATCAATAATTGATGTTGCATTCGAAACTCCAGGTCTGGAGTTGCCAACTGAATTCTCTGGATTCCAACCACATGGTTGACTTCTGCTTCCCACCAAATTCAAATTTGAATTTGGCAGGGTTTGTGGGCACGGGTGTTGTGCACCCTTCAAACTGGGAACCATGGCTGAACACAACAACCTAGGTCTGAGGTTGCTAGCCGAACTCTTTGGAGTGGAAAATTAGGAGTATCAGTTACCTTGTTCGCCGACCCCCTATCCCCTTTCCTTTTGTTTATCAACCTTCTTGGCAAAGTAGTTGGGTGGGAAGGGCACGAAAGGTACATAATTTGTATCATTTGCTTGCTCCATGGCCACACGTCTCTTGTATTGGGGAGAAGTGAGCGAACGATCTTTCTCCTTTGGAACTATCTAAGGAAAAGGAATTGGTTAATCATCCAGTACAAATCTGTCTTTGCCCTTGCGGATTGCCATGATGTCAGGGAAATCATCATATGCGAATGCACTATCCATGTCTGCGACATTATGCAGCTCTGCAACTTTCTTGAACCAGTTATCAGAATTATCACCTTGTTTGTTCTCGGATGTACCCAGCTCACCAATGCTTGAAGCGGGCCTAAAGTTATGCATTCTTACATTCTCAATTTTCTCCATTCCCGAATTGTCACTTTTATCCCCAAATCTTATATATGAAGAGATATTGAAACAAACACTTAGTTTTTCACGGCCAGAGATTAGGAGCTTATACCTGTAGGTTGAAGCGCGTTATCAATTCCTCGGAATTGCTATAACTAGTTCCAATTCAATAGAATTCGAAATTTATATCTGAAAATGAATTCTTTTTAATACCAAACACAAAAATATTTCATTTCAAAATGAATTCCTCAAAACTTATGGTATTCATTTATACCAAACGGTATGTAAGAGGTACATGTTAGCAGATTCTAAGATTAGTTAGATGCCAAATAGCTTGTTGACTTATGGTTGTGTTTGGTTTACTTTGCCGAGGATGTCGTCCTAAGAATTCATAAGTTATTGAATTTAAAAGTTTTTCAAAGATATTTATAGCATATGTTGTTCCATATAATAGTGTCTTCGTTGGAATATCTATGTTATTGAGATAATGATAAACTGCCCCAGTTGTTTTATATATTAAGAAATTAAACATTTCACTAGGATGCAATTTCTTCAGATCTTCATTAGTTTGTATTAATAATCTTGTTCGATTTTTTCAGTCTTCTAATCCTTTTAATGTATTAATACAACAGTCAACATCCAAACACAAACCCAAAAAAATAGGTCTAAAAGACAAAACAAACCCAAATCAAATTCAAGTCATATCCTAACATAACTAATTAATCCCCACCGTCAATTCAAATATAACTTACCAAACCCTACCTCTATTTCATATTTACTTTCACTCGGACGATTGGCCACCTCATTCCTTCTTATGCTTCTTTCAATAGAGCCGAACAACCCTTCTCTAGTCTCTCCCTCATTTAGTTCTCGCCGCTTCTTATTTGCTTCTCTTCTCCACACTCCAACTTGGTATTCCTCTTCTTACCCATATGGTATTGTCATTAGCTTCCCTTAACTTTTGTGTTAGACGGTAAGGATTCAATTTGTTTCTTCTAAGGGTTTTTTGGATCTAGTTTATTATATTATGAGTTTTGTTTTGCAAGTGGGTGAATATATTGTTTAGATTTTGTTCGATTTGCCATTTGTTCAGCTTCACACTCTCTTGTTTTGTTTCTCTCCTGGACTAGCCATTTGTGACGGCGATGATTAGGCTCCACAGAGGAAAAAAGAATGCGCATGGCGAGTGAAGCGATGGCAAATAATTGCGGTTATCGAAGGTCTGGCAAGATTAGTGGCCGTCATTTCGATTTTGCTATCTTTCTAAGTTCAGTCGGCTTTTTTCATTGTTTGTACGCATAGTCCATGTTGTATTTTTATTAAGCGTACATTTTTTACTCACACTATGTTTGGGAAGGGGGGTTAATGGGAGGGGGAGAAAGTTTGGGGGGTAAATGCATTTGCCCCCATCTGGTTAATTATGAATAGTGTAGGGGGTGCAATTAGGGGGGCAAATCCACTATTCTCATTAACCCCCCAATTTGGGGTACAAATAGAGAGAGAAAGAGTTGAAGAATGGATAAAAAATAAAATTAATATATATATATATATATATATATATATGTATATATATATGGGGGAGTTCTACGATACCTAGGGTGAAATCCGGGGTACCGCATACCTTGAGTAAGAAAATGCTATCCAAAACATGAATTGACTGATCGTTCAGACATGATACTATACTTTAACTCTTAAAGATCAAAATCTAGGTCTCAATTCTCTAAATCTTACACCCCAAGATCAATTTAATTAGAAAAAATAATCGACGGTTATGATTCGTCCAAATATAGGAAAAAAAAATCAATGCACCATCTTAGAGTTTATAGTTTATGATTTAGATAATTAGGACTTAGGGTTCACTCATTAAGGGTTAGGGTATAGTATCATGCCCAAAAATCCTGCTAATTCAAAGTCTATATAGCGTTTTCATACTCAAAGTATGTGGTACCCCGGATTTCACTCGGGGTACCGTAGAAGGCACCATATATATTGTTATGTTTTATATGTATGATTATGTTTTATGATTGTTGTGACTAAAAATGTCATGTAATCATTATTCTACAATAATACTTATTATTATTATGATACTAAAAATAATTATTATAATGATTAAATAACTATTATTATGATTTTTACATTGATTTCGGGAGACATCATTTGATATACGATGAGAAAGTTTGTCAAATTGGCTTCAACTGTTTGACTCGGTCAAACAAGTGAGTCAAGATTCCTCAAGTCGAATCGAGATAGGATGGTCATTTATGGTTAAAATCGATTTAATAATGTCCATTTTACTCCGATTTAACCATCATTTTGATAAATGAACGCCCGGGTGGGAGACATGAGCTAGTTATATGTTTTGGCCACAGATTGAGCTTCAAGCATAGTCATTCGAGGTCGCTCAACCAATATTATTATTATGGACCCAACAATTTTATTTATGAATATTTATAATTAATTACTACTTGAGCATTAATATTTTTATATTATTTTATTAAATTATATTTTTAAATATTTTTAAATATTATTATTTTTATTTCATATTTATTTATGTGTGAATTTTTTATAACAATCTTTTACAAATTTGATATATCTATTTTACAATAATATAATTTACTTACTTTTCACTAATTTGCACCCCCTAGTTTTTCATCCAAACAACAATTTACCCCTCCACTTTCACCCCCAACAACTTGCACCCCCCGCAATTTACCCCTCATCTTGTACTCCCCTCGAATTTGTACCCCCCTAGTTGCCAAACACAGTGTCAAGGACTGAGATAAGAATTGAGATATTGCCCTCATCTTTAAATAAAAAACTTATCAAAGATTAGTCCTCCACACATCAAATGCATAGGGATAACTAATTGTCCCTATAAGTTTCTAAATTTGTATCTCCAAATACACATGTCAAGACTATTATTCGTTCCTAAAAATTATATAGGAGACAATTAGTTGTCTCCAAAGATATAGTATAAGGGACCAATTGTCATCCTCAAATACTAAAACTTTAGGGAACGATTTGTTGACTTCAATTTGAAACATATGTGGAAGACATGTAGACCCCCAAATATACACAACGCGGACATGAAATGGATTATAGGGGACATGATTTTGTACTTAGAAAAAATGTTTAGGGGACAACTTAGTGTCTCGAAAGTCATGACTATAGGGACGACATGTTGTCTTACCTCGGGGGAAAATGAGACAGCAACTAGTGAGTATCGGGGACGACTGTTGTTCCTACTACTAGGGACGGCCTAAATTTTGTCGTCCCCAAAGCAATTGAGACAAGCATTTAAGGGACGAAACATTGGGGACGACTAAGTCATCCCCAAAAACTATGGGGACGATTTTATCAATTTTCGGGGACCAGAAACCTTAAACCTTACCTTTTTTGTAGTGAATGTATCATCTAGTTTCCATTCCTACACATTCATATTCAAACTAGCTATTAAATAAGAGAGAAGGAAGATACCACCATCGATGATGACAACATCTCCTAAAATGCACTCCCTCTTACGCATGCTAAGCTCCTTACTCATCATAGTGATACATTTTAGTGGAAATTTTGCAGTCTCGGGAATAATGTGCCTAGCTCTCTATTTATAGAGTTAGACCTCTGCTAAATCAACCCTAAGATAAAAACTAGGATTAGTTTTCCTTGACTTTAGGCAAAAAAACACTGTTGGACCTCAAGCATCGTCCATAAGAGGCATGGCGGCGGTGCTACCCTTTGCTTGGACAGTCACCTATTCTTATACCACATTAGGCCGATTCTTCTTCTGTTGGACTTCTTTTTGGATTTTTTAACAACCTCATGCTAGGTTCTCCATCATTGGACCTTGTCTTCTTGTCTTCATAGTCAAAACTCCATATTCTTTCTCTTGTAACTCCTTTGTTCCTCTAGTTGTCCTTCAATTATTGATCCAAATTATCATCAATTATGTTTGTTCATGAAAATCAAAAAAACATACCAAAAAGGCATAAACAAAACATAACCTACATCTATAAAACACACATTGATCAAATAATTATGATTTAGACATAAAATATATTTATTATGCATTGATAAAAGGGGAAATATATCAAATATGGCCTCGATAAACAATAAAATTTAAGTGTCATTGGGTATCACAGCATGGTTCAGATCCAGGGTGGTGGACACCAGGGTGGACCTTCATTCGGTGACCTCAGAATTTGAGATTCGCGTATGTTTGGCAGATCAAGGGAGATCCATGTCTAATAGGGTAAGATCAAAGGTGATCTGCATCTGGGAAATATTTGTGTCAAAAAGTTTGTCGATACAAGGTGTTTGACGGATCAAGATAATCGTTGAGGAAGGACATGATGTTCATGGTCCTTGGCTTGAGGGGAGAATTGTTAAGGTTAGTGTAGTCAAAATCTAGATTTAAATCCTAAAATCCTACGCTTTTACAATTTTACTTACCTATTCCGTTTCTGATTTCACTATAAAATCTATGGACCTTAAAATCCTACACTATTCACGATTTAAATCCTTAAAATCTTACGATTTTACGATTCGAATCTTTGAGTCAATTGTACTTATTTTCCCCAGAATTTGTAAAATTATGCCTCTTTTTGTTCTCCTCCACAACATCATCTTGTTCTCTCACACTAACCACCATCGACTATAATCAATTCAAATCAACGTATAAATAATCATCGATTCACCACCTCTTAACGTTAACCTTGATAAATTGGAACATTAACCTTTAAAAATTATCATTGTAAGTGTTATGTGCTTTTTTGTTCTTCCTTATTTTCCTTACTAATATTATTCCATCTTCATTTTTCTAAGGACCTTAAAAATCCTACGATTTTACAATTCCGATTTTACCCCCATTTTTTATTTTAGGTAAAATCCTGATTTTAACTGCTTTGGTTAGGGTGCAATCCAAGTACCACATCAGAAATACAAGGTAATGAACGCTTGTATATTAGTGTCCACCAAGCTTATTAGTACAAGGTCTT